CAGTCTGGCGAACAATTTCGTACATCATGGCGGCTGCGCATGCGTAACGCGCCACTTTTTGGAAAACGCTGTGAATAAAATTACAAAGAAATGTACGAGCATTTGCCTTACCGTGTTAAAAATTGTCCTCTAGCTCCGCAAGGGCAAGAATAATCTCGGGTCCACAAGTTTAGTTCTTAAAATGCATGAAGACTTAAAGACTTTTTTCTTTGAGCAGTGTAGTTTTAAAATACACAGTGAACAGAAGATTCCTAACGTGGTGTAAAATTTGTTCTATTTCGAGGAAATCCGCCATAAGTCTTTTCAAAACTGGGCCGAGGTGCTCCTGCAGAACGGCAAAATCAAGACACAAGTTGCTTCTCTTTGAAGTCCACAAAGCCAGTTCGATTGTGCAGGTAACAAAGGTCGTTTTAAGCTTATAAATGAGGTCCTTTCTTCGCTGTTCCCAGCTAATGTAAAATACGAGAAAAATGGGTTGAAAGAAGTCTTCTTGTGACATGTGGAGATACCGACAAAATGAAAGGTTGATAAATCTTTTTCCCGAAGTAAACATCGGCCACCATGTTGAAAGTGTTCCGTTTATGTTACTCTTACATAAACAGTTTGAATTTCACTTGAAAGTCCGCTGTACGGCTTGACAAGAAGCTTGGAACAGTATTTCTTCGCCTTGTGTGACTTCGCGTGACAAAGTGATGTGACATTACGGCTGTTGATCGTGCAAAAATGTAATAACAAGAAAACTTGGGTTTTTGTTTCCTTTCGAATTTGTTTTTGTTTGAGTATGTGTAAAATAACATTCATTTAGTTGCTTTGTGGTAATTTCTAATGTTTTTACTAGATTTATTAATGATAGTGTGAGCCTACGCATCGAACCGCTGACTGTACGAAATTGTTCGCCATGGTTAGATTAGGGACTATTTTACGGGTCGGCAAAACAAGAAAACCACGGAAAACGAAAGGTGACGGTTAACGGTGATGTATAGACCAATTGACCGTAAACTGAAATAATAATACAAAAATCTCTATCAATTTGGCGAAAAGGCCGATACTAAGACAAATAACGCGTATTAAAAATCAACAAACTAGAGCTTGAAAACGGTAATAAAGCAATTATTTAACGATTAGGTCGATAACAAGACGGTAAAATCTACGTAAAGGCTACATAAACTGAAATTAGACAATAATTCTGTAAATCTGATCTTAATCCTTGTACTATAAAGCAAAAGTGTGGGCGTTGCTCTAACAGGCGTTCAAATCCGCTTTTCGCTCATGAAACAGTTATAAATCAATTAAACTTAAAACTGTATACTTGTACAGTAACATTCGTGTACTTTTGCTCACTGGCTAAAGAACGAAACTAATCAATATAACAAAATAAATCACTTACATATCGGTCCCGCTTGTACCAAAGGTTAAGACAAAATCACCAAAACGATGTCACGGGACGAATCCTACTTGACGTTCCCTGACCAAAAGGACGCAAACGCGCGCTTTTATACCCGCGTGGGGACGTCCAAATATCTCATTACAAAACCAATAGAAAATCAGGTAAACATTGTAACTACGCTGGTAACTAGGATCAAAGCACGAAAATCACGAAATCAATGAAAGGTATAATTGTTCTTTATGTCTTGTCCTTTGCACAGAGCTTTGGCTTTAATTTACACCAGCACTCACATCATAGTGAGTTTAGGATGCCTGTAGAGGAAGGAAGTTTACATTTTCAGAATAATTACTTAGCTTGTCCGTTTTTCCTTTATTTTACCAACTTTTTACAAATTTTCTTAGCGTTCATTCTAAAAATTTGCTTGGTTTATTGGTTACTGCATAATAGAGAGATATTTTGTGTTCTCTATTTTACAGGAAACATTCTCTGTGTTTCCTAGTTAAAGTTTTTTGGAACTCCGCTTTAAGGCTTGGCTAACTTAAGTTAATTGAAATTGTTTCTCATTCCTCGCCTCAAATACTGAAAATCTCAATCTACGACAATCAACACTAGAGTGCAAATACATTAATTTCACACTGAAATGATTTCTAATCTGTTAATGCAGGACTACTCTGCAGCGTCATCTCTTTCCTTTAAGGTTTCAAGGTTATGTCCAAATGAGTCTATAATTATAACTACGCATAGAAACGTATGCGTTGACACTTGAATGTTTTAGAAGATTTCAAACGATCTTGCTAAGGGCTGAAGGATTTTTTAAATTCGTAATCGGTCTCCAGAGCAGATAAACTCTCGACTCGCCGTAAACGGGTAAATGATGACGTTATGATATGGAAAGCTATAAACAAATAAATTTCTATGCAGTAGCAAGTTCAGTGAAGAGAATCGATTGGTCTACTTTTCACAAAAATTGAAGAAAAAATATTGATATTCCATTTTGTACTGTTTAGTAATACATAGTCTGGACAGTGATACCTCTCCTCCTTCGTTTCAGTACAACTGAAAGTAAGTTAGTTTTTAAACTACCATTATGAAGTTAAATTGTTTGGAAGATAATTGTCGGCACCATAGACCGCTCATTGCCAACCGTTACACTCTTTGAAAGCTTCCAGTTCGAAAAAAGACCCTGTTCAAAAGTTCAAGATGCTAAATAAGGAATTAAATACCCTCATTTAGGGCTCTAGACCCACTGAAAACTATACCCTGTTCAGCGGCACATACCCTTTTACGCCAATAAGGGAATGCCTGCCCTCCCCGGGATCATTCCAACCTGCCTTCCTCAGGAAAGAGGGAATGATGAATTTATTTGCTAAATCACATGTATAAAAAAGCCAAAACGTCATATCTGGGGTTCTTTATTAATATTCCAGAAATAATACTTGTAAATATGTCGAACGTTCACTTGTCCAGTCGGTCTTTTTGTTGCCGGTATTCAAAAGTTGGGATATTGAAGACTTAACTCATTTTCACGTCGTTTGACTCCCACAAACAAAACACTTCTGTAGAGTTAAGAGTTATCAGAGAGCTCTAACCATAGCATTTTTGGGGGGGATTTTTGCAGGCATAGCAGAAAAACTTGTAATAACTGGCCAGATTTTTACAAGTTTTTTGATCTATTTCCATCCTTGCCACCCTAGGAACAGAAGACAGAAAACATTTTCAATACCTAAAAATAGTCGTCAAGGAAAAAACTGAGGTATTATTTTTGAGATTCAATTGATGCGAATATTAAATATGTGTTAGCCGAGAGAGCAAATAGCGTGTCTCCACTCATAGGCCCATTTTAAAGGTCGAAGGAAAAAAAGGGCAAAAATGCTACCTTTATAAGTAAGGGTTTTCTAAAACTTAAAATCAGAGATAAAAAACGGCGTTTCGACCGATCTTCGGTCATTTTCAAGTAAGTTAAAAAAAGTTAAAAGAATTAGCATATATATGTGTAAGGTGTAAAAATATGTTAAGAACTATAAAAAATGTTTGAAAATGATAAAAGAATGAAATAAAGCATGCAGAGAAAAAACAACTATAGAATGTAATTGAAAGAACTATTTAAAAACTTTTGCACGAGTTGAGTCTGATTGTACATTGAGACCAGGTCTCAGTTCATTAATAAAAAACGTTTCAAACACCAGGCAGTCATTGCTTTTACTGACACTTCTCTAAAATGCTAAAATTATTACTAGGATCTTAAGGTGTTGAAGAATGTTTAACAAGGAAGTGCCGGCCGATGGATGAACTTGCGCTTTTGTGTTCCTCAATTCGCCGGTGTAAGTGGCGAGATGTGTAACCAACATAACCTGCATAGTACAGGTCACATTCAAATTTGTAAACAAGGGATTGCTGGTTGGCAAGAGGTGGCTAAATAGCTTCTCGCATTTTAAGATCGCGTTCAATCTTTTGGCTGACAAACACTGGAGACACGGTCGTGTGAATTTGTGACCCAAATCCTGAAGGCTAAAAAGGCTACCAAACGGGTAATTACTAATTAAAAACAGAGCCTAGAGAAGGTAGGAAAGCGACGGTTGCATTCAGGGTTTGTGGTGTTCACAAAAGATTAAAAGCCACCTTCTTGAAGGCTTGAAATTGGAAGCGCCGTGTATGAAAGCAAGGAGAAATAACTCAAACACAATTACTGACTTGAATCCGTTTGCACATTTTATTACATCAAATGTAAAAATACAAAATCATATCGCAAACTGAGACAAAATCTTAGAAATATGATTGAAAAACTGCAGGTAAAGGCTAATGAAATCACTACTTTTAGGCTAAATATGTGACAAATAGTACCAACAAACAAAGTAAAACTTTTGAAGTCTAATTCTGTTTAAAAATTCTAGTTTTAAACTATATTAGTTTATATTAGAAATAAGGAAGGATTTAACCGTTTTCACCTAGGGGAGCTCAAACAACAATGACGGAGACGGCTTTGAAAACGTCTCTTAAAAAGTGAACTCGCACCGCTTCGAACTTTATCGCGCTTATTCCATCTTTGGTCAATTCGTCAAATCTTGTCAAATTTTTCTGAAGTTGAATTCTAAAAGACAGTATCAGAGTTCAGGAAAAGAAAGCGAAAGTCGTCTTGCTTTCCCGTCCTCCACAAAACGTAAAATTAAGCACTTTCACGTTGTAGTCGTGCAGTGATGACGAAGAAATGTACAAAAAAAACGTGGTGCACGTCGTCGTTGTCCTTGCTTAAGCCTCCTATTATTTATTGTCTACTTGGGTATTGGCATCTAATTTGAACTGTGCGGATGCTAGCGAAAACAAAAAACACTGTAAATTCAAGCCTATTCAGCTTCTCATGGAGCCATCGCCAATAACATCTCTGCCAAAAGAGCCTCACCAAAGCGGCTTTGAGACTATACTCAGTCCGTGAGTCCATAATAGCCCCTAAATGGACTTAAATGAATGATAGCGTTGGAAAATTAAAGTGCTTCTAACAAAAAGCACTATCTGTTTTAGGATGAACCACCGGCATTACGAAGTCATAGTGATTTAGAAATGTTTTAAAAGTGCCATGATAGTCTTATTCAACGTGGTGTTGAGTAAATGTCTCTCATTAGGACACCAAATAGACAGCAATGGCGGCCAGGATCGCAGAAAGCATGACACGTGACTCCAGCATATTTGCTGCTCCTGGGACCAGTATGTACTTGGTTGGTAGTACTTCTCTGTCGGTGTGCCTGGAAATATCGTCATTTCCATCCATAGAACTGTGCATGGCCCATGCAATCATGACTTCAGTACCAGGCTACATAAAAAAATATGTAAAGAATTTCATGCTATTTTCAACCTTCTGAAACAGCAGCAAGTTCCTAAGGCCCCCCCGGGGGAGGGTTCCTCCTTATAAGAGGCTAATGGGGATGTGCCGCTGGATGGGGTCGCATTTTCAATAGAGTTACTAGAATGGGGTCACATTTTCGGATTTTATGGGGTAAGACAGACATATTTAAGGTTAGCAAACGTACCAAAATGTTTGCACTGTAGGTAAAAAGTAAAGTGTTCTTCATTCAGTTTAAAAAATGGGTCAATTCATAAAAACAGAAAGTGACTAAGTTAGGATCGCGAAAAGATGGGGTCTATAATTGGTCACAGAATAGACTATAATGGGGTAGGGGCTCTGAGAGGTCAGCGGCACATACCCACCTCCCGGGCTAAGACTCCAAATAAAACATGTATTTATGTATGTATGGAAAAGACTTGTCTGAGATAGAAGGGTCACTTGCCTACCCGAGCTAGTATCCTGGGTTAGCCAAATATTCCTACATTACCTTAAAAAACTTGGTGAACTTTTAACGAGAATTAAAGAGTTGGCTCGGCTTGTAGGATGACACGCCTATCCAGGTTACATGTTTCGTTGGTCAGGCAAACTTTTCTCCATATAATCAAGTTGGTTCGTCAAGCCGGGTCAACTCAGTCAAGGTGAGCATGCACTTGCGCTGTTGTCAGCTCTTGGTTTGTTCACATAAACGCTCCGTGCTAAAGATGACTCGGTGGGGAAGTGACCCTCTGTCCAGGGAGGACTTTTCTACATGCCTGTTCTCACTCGCGGCCGTCACAAACAAACGCCCCTTTGCCCTTTGGACCTGAGTATTTAATTCCGCGCATCTGTGGATCCACAGGAAAACCGGCTTTACACAATATTTACGAATTTAGTGTAAATAGACGTATTTTATCCTTTTTTTCCTCTCTTCGTTCACACGAACACCTGACAACAGGTTGTTGCACCATCCTCCTTCCCGCAGGGATGGCTCGCTTTTGTACCCAAAGTCCCGCTCCTTTCCATCTCCGGGTGGGGCGTATGGGATTGGAAGCCACGGTCCCACCCGGAGATAAAATTTAAAAAAAGGAAGAACTTACCTTAAACTGAACATCGTTATCAGTGTCGCTTGTCTCTGGATCTCTTTCAAACTGCACCGTTGTATATCCACCATCCTCGGTTGCCGTTCTAAGAACAAAGTTATTTGCACTATCCTTTGATGGTTTTGTCGTTGAGGTGCTCCAGTAGTCCTACGGGTAAAGAAACAAAGTCTCTTACCTCTTTAACACAGACCGTCACTTTTTACGGTATTAAATCTTAAATTACAACCTCGTGCTGTGTGCGAAATTTCTGAGACCTGTTGCCCATTGCACTGCTTGAATGGCCTTTTACGCACGATTTTGAAGGTCATAATGTCTTTCTCTTCAGCCAACATACGAACACTGTCTATAGTCTCCTTAGTTTCCTTATTTCTATTCACTTACGTCCTCATTTTCACGTTCAGTGGATCGTTCGCTTTTCTAACCAGGTTTTTCTTGTTCGGAGATCTTGTCTTAAAAACTGCGGTTTGAATCCTTTTTTGACGACATTAAAGGTTTTCTAGATCTCTTATAAGAACAGATTTTGTTGTTATGAACATTGAGTATCCGTTGCGGACTAACTTACCGCGCACTTAACTACCGCTACATAGCTGCGGTAGGCATAAATATGAGCGATATCTACCTCCCTGTTGACTCAAGAGTATGTTAAAAGTTTATATCGTTGCCATGTATCGACTGACCTGTAAACTAGCTTTATATCTAAGTGTTAGTCACGTTAATAAAGTATGTATGTAGTATGTATACATATATATAGTGATCTCAGTGTTGTATAAGCTACTAGTAATGGTAATATTTCCTTGGGTCTTACTGTAAATTTGGAAACGCTATTCAATGCACTAGCCCATCTGGAGGACGTCAAATGTTCAAAAGTAGGGTAGTTCCTTATACAGAATGAAACTCCATCTTACTTACATCAAGATAGTTGCGATCGGAAGTGACCCCGCCCAAGGCAATATCGTAATCCTTCATGCCTCTACCATCCCCTGTTGTAAAGGCGACTGCACACCAACCAGTGGTTTTGCATCTCAATGTGAAAAACAACTTGTTGTTGCTGTATATCCAGGTCAGCATAAATTTATCACCGAAACTAACGGTCGTGGCTGCTTAACGAAGAGATAAGGATTAAAAAGATCATGTTAAACACGGTTTCTTACCAAAACGCTAAAATAATGTACTATTCGTGTGACTTACACGATCTTATACATAGATGCATTTTTTATTGTGTTTTGAGCTAAAAGTACAATTATAACATGCCGGCGGGTAGCTAAGATATTCTAGGTGGGTTATGTTTACAGGAAATAAATACAACTAAATACAACTAAAAGTAACAAGAGAACTAAAAAAACTAAAATTGACAACAATGACTACAGACTACTGATAAACTAACGGTATTACTAATAATACATGACAACAGTTAACAGTTTGGGGTAACTACAATCCTCGTCACAAATCTTGAAACACTTGTGTGATTTTCCCCTTCCCAATGTTGATTTGGGTTTGCAGTCATTTCAGTGCTCCAAAATACGCTCGGCTCAACATTGGGGAAGGAGAGGGGCACATTTGAGTGATAACAAAGGTGTGAAGAGTGAATGTAAGAAATTTGGAGAAAATTCAAGACAAGTGGCTCCTGTTTAAACGATTTGTGACGAGTATTGTAGGTTGAAAGCAAACGACGAGTCACGAGTGTTAGATCCGTTCATAAAATCAAAATAATTACGCTGAACGGTTTGTAACTTATTTGCCAGTTTAGGTCCAACAGAAGCGAAATGGTCATTAAGAACGTTGGCTATTCTGCTTGGGTCACTGGTGACAGAATCATTGTCATTAGGGTCTTTAATAAAAGTAATAGGTCTTGTGTTCTTCAATTTACGGGCAAGTACATTGTTTATTCCCTCCAATGTTTTTTTCATATTAGTTAAGCTATCACTAAAAAATTTAGGATAATATTGCTGTTTACTTGAACGCGTTAAGGTACAAATTATCCTATCAGACGGTTATAATTGTTAAGCTCCGGCTTCCCCAACTAAAACCCTGAATGAAATTGGTTGTGTAGAAATAACATGTTCTAACAAAAGTCGTATGTACATGTATCCGGTGTTGAATAAAAGTCAGTAATTGTGGCTCACACACCGGTCACAATATGCGCATCTTGCGAGAGAGCCCTTGGGGGGGGGGGGGGGGGGAATAATCTTTTATCATTTACCCTCCCCCAAAATTTTTTTCCCAGAATTAAAAAGCTTTTTTTGGGGTGGCTTTTTTTTTTTTTTTTTCTTTTGTGTTGTTTTTTTGTGGGGGATTTTTTTTTTTTTTTGTTTGGTTGTTTTTTTTCTTCTCTATTTTTTTTCCTCTAGTTTTTTTTTTTTTTTTTATTTAAAAGTCAAATAGAATTATTTTTTTGTTTATTTATCATATAATAATTATTATTTTGTTTATCTTGTTTTTTTGGAATACTAGTATTGTTCTTCTGCCCCTCCTGCGAGCAGAGTAAGCCCGGCCTGAGGAGGCGGGCGGGGGGGGGGGGGGGGGGGTAAAGCTCCTTTATCCATATCCCCGCCCCAAAATCTTGCTCACAGTCTCTAACAAGTGTTGATACTGTGGTCTATTTTTTTCCTTTTAATGGTTGTCTGGTTTCTCGGGGATCATTTGGTTTCGTTTTCGTTTGGATCTTGGTGCTTTCCTTTACTTACGCCATGTCTGCGTTAATTTTTTTTGTTTGTTCTCGTCTGTTCTCCGTGAGATTTTTCTCTGAGTGCGTCGAATTTCCCCTCTCCTTATTTCCAGTTCGTTCAGGAATATTGCATCTTTAAGTAATGGTAACAGGACTGAGTGGAGTACAATTCAGCGAGTGATCGAGCGAGTAATTTTGAATTTGAAATTACGAGCCCGATTACCCGTGAGTTTACGACACGAAGTCCTATTACCAACAAGAACGCTCTTAGTAGCGTTGAGTCTCGCTTGCTTGGAGATGAGTTTCGTTGTCAAAGGCCCCGGTGCCTTTGTACTACTTTTTCGTTTGGAATACAAAACGAGTGCTATATGTCATAATGTAGATACTCAAAAAGTAAAAATTGCAAGAAGAGACAGGCCGTACATCTTAGCCTACATATTTATATTGCTCAATTGAGGGGCATTACCTCGGTAAATGGTAAAGCCCATTGAGGAGTACTCTTTCAGGGATTTTACACTCAAAAAATTGAAAGATGATTTTTATCGGTATCAGGGGCCCATGACTCTGTCAGTATAAATATACTTAGCTTCTTTGTACCCGACCAAGATACGGCTCGGTACAGTATATGTTCAGCACAGGAAAAATGTGTAAGTTTAACAGAACCTTATACAACACACAGTTAATTCGCGCGTATTCCTGCTGAATTTGTTGTCCGTTTTATAAGATATCAATATTACGTGAAAGCAATTACATTTTCCATAGTTGCTTAGTATCTACTTTTAATATCTCCGTACAGTCTTAGAGTACAATGTTAAGAGTTGTACACAGCATGCATTTTAGGTAGATAGATAAATAGATAGATAGATAGATAGGTAGATAGATAGATAAGAACTTTATTTTATTTTAGCACGATAAAAAGATCAGCATTGCTGGTGGGGTCGTGCATACAACAATTACAAGAAAAATAAGGAGTACTGAAAGCAAATGTACAATATTTTATTAAAAATTAAAAATTGTTGAAGTTTTTTCTTTTATTACAGTATCACTGGGATAGAGCGTTTCATTTTCCAGGAAAATTTCACTTTCTCGTCAAAACAATCACTGACTCAGACAGACCCGGATTAGTTTACTTGAATTTAGTGTTCAGTACAGCGAACGGGGTTATGTTCTGTGAAATTTATCTACAGTCTGCGGCCCACATCACCGCTGATCCACGATTTATTTATTTATTCATTTTTTCAAGTTCTTTTTAAACGATCCTCGATCCCTTATTCCTCGATCCTGATTTTCTAGTAAACCTTGAAGTTTTGCTCATTAAGATTATTCTTTTTTTTTCGACCACTGAAGTGATCAGTTGTTCCAAAATAAACAACACTTTCAAGCGATAGAATTCTTGGACCAACCGTTCCGGAAAAGCTCGATATGGGATTTCTATTCTATGGACATGAAGTGCTGCAAGTAGAGTGCACGGATAGTCAAGTTCAAAGCTACCGTATAAACACATCGGTGACACATTCGTAACGTTAGGGTGGATTTCTACGGACGCGTTTTTGGCTCCGCACGTTAACTTAAGTAAATTTTAATCACATAAATAAAATAGAGGTAAGATATAAAACGTTAAGATTAAACGTCAAGTTGAGTGAGTTTCTACTTTTATGCTTGCATAATTGAACTTGCGGCCTTTCATACATTGTTTCTATTTTATTTGCGAACGGCAATTTTACGCACGTAAAAATTACGTGACAGTGGATACCTGATATATATGTCAAGTATTTATAAAGTGCAACACGACTTCACATCTTAACAAATGCGAAAATCTATCAATTAAATACTTAAAACAAAGTGAATCTATTTAACCGTAGAAGACAATATTCTGAGAAACGTAACGCCTTAAAACACCATAAAATAGGATTTCCCGCTATAATCTTTTCTCATCCTACCTGGGGATATTTCCTTTTTAATCACTGCCTGCTTGTCGTGCATAGTTACACGAAAATCAAGGGCCTCCATTCAAGGGAAATTACATCATTGCCAAACTTAAGAGCGTCATTTCAGTCATCGCCGAAAATATACCGCATGCTAATAACGAGACTCATTTGCATACAGTGAAAGTCGCCACGATTCTTATCCCCGGTTTCCACGGTCTTCGCCTAGGAACGCGTGGCCTACAAACTAGGTCCCACCGACAAAAAAAAAAAAAACGACTGCATTTTTAGAGTCTCGCTTTGCTCAAGCAAGCTCGACTAATTAATTGAATCAATAACAAAATACGAGAATCTCAATCTCGTAAATATTCAGCCACTATTCACCTCGATTTCAAATAATAATTGTGAAATGTAATTAAAAGTCGCTGGACCAGTCAGTTTCATCCATTATTCTTTTCCAGTAGCAACTGGACAGCTTATCTGATCACTATTTTTTCATTGATTTTGATTGGTTATCACGCGCTGTGTAGTTAACTTTTATTGGCTAGTGGTATTTTCTACTTGATTTTCATTGTTTTTTTAACTGTCCGATTTGACCTGTCCAATTACAAGCTCCTGGTAATCGGACAGGTCAAATCGGAAATTTTTGGAGTAAAATGAAGCTATAAATATAGGCTGTTAAGAACCAATCAGATTCAAACATTTTGTTATTGACACAGTTAGGTCAGGAATAAGATATATCAAAAGAAAATGTACTCATTCTCTCCTGAATGTAAGTGACCATGAAAATCAAGATTATTTTTCAATAATAATCTTCCCTGTTAGCTCGTGGCTTGAATCATCATATTTTAATTCATATCAAGACAGGATAAAGGGGACAGAGAAGGCATCCCCCATACACACCCTATTCCATAGGTAATTCGTCTCGAGCTATTTTTAGATACGGAATAAAGTTAACTCGCGCGCTGCGTGGATGTTTCGTGGAGGTTTCGCATGACTAAACGCCGTCCATGTCGCCCATGTCGGGCGAAAGGCAATGAAAGCGTAAAGAGATTGAGAGCATTCCTGAATATTGAAGCAAAATGAATCGGCGCTCACCTGGGAAAAGGGAATCGCTGGACTCTTTGACAACCCGTGAAATTAGTTTAACTCGAAGTTGTCGTAACCTCAGTGCTTTAATAAAATGAGAAATTTCGCCGGTCTATTGAAACCGGTCGTTTGTACAATAAAGCAAAAAGGACGCCAAGTGTTATTATTGCTGAATAATAAAAGACTAATAAAAGAATAAATATCAAACCAGAACTTGCACTCTTCAAACTGTAAATTATAAATGATCCTGAGAGAATATTCAGTGTGTTAAGGATTTCCCTGCTGTACTGTTAGCTCTAAACAAGAGAGGAAGGGCGATTCCTTTTTAATTTCCGTTTCGCTGACACAGCTTTAGCAGAAATCTCTGTGTAGTCGTTTTCGTCGACAAAACGAATAGTAATAGCAATATCGCTCTCCGCCATTTTGTTCTGCGTCAATTCGTGAAGGACGCGTGGCTCTGAGCGTGGGTCATCCACGCGGAACACATTCGAGCTATGTGATTGGCTGTTGTCTAATCCCCCTGGGGATCTGTGGTGTTAAAAATAACTCGAGATGAATTACCTATGGAATAGGGTGTGTATGGGGGATGCGTTCTCCGTCCCCTTTATCCTCTCTTGTTCATATCTTTTAAAATTTTTTTTAGTATTTGCAGTTCTCAACAGTTTCGAAGATTTTCCAAGTTTTTGTTTGGCATAAGCTCAGTTTTTGTATTCTTGAGCATTAGAACTTTCCAACATATACAGCTGCATATAGTCGATTTTCAGATCAGATGCAGCGTCGTGTTGAAGCAGGGCTTACACAACAACAAGTCTTTGTCCATCCCTTATACATATATCTCCATCCTCTCTTGATATTTGTGATTTTAAAACTGAATCAATGAAATTTATAATCAGTGGTCAGCGTAATTATTTGGGGTTGGCTCTACGACTCCAATAGAAAAGTGCTTTAAACGGTGGTTATCGGAAATGATGAAAAATATGTTCGAGGTAGTTACTATCAAACATTAAATTACTACACAAGTAATCATGATTAGATAAGGCTTAGACGAGTAATTCTTTCATTATAATATTCGTTTTAAGTTTTTCATTTTCCGCGGCTCTGACTGTAGAGAAAGTGATTTTTTTTAAAGTTCACTGACAATATGCCGAATTAACAATGTCAACAATTTGCTTTTTATAATATTGGAAGAATAAGGTAAATCTTGATTAGCTATAACTTGTTCTTACAATTAAATTAACAGAAATGATTATTGGCTAGTCTACATTACCTGTTGATTGAGGCGTTAAACCAACTGAGGAAGAAGGCACCATCATGGTACTGGTGGTAGGTGTTATTCCTGAAGAAAAAGCAATTTTCGCTGAGTTTTAGGCAGCCAATTATTGAATGAGGGAGCCTGCGAAAACACACGTTTTTCCTCGCTCCTCGCCGCTGGGGGACGTTTCGCGAGCAGGGACATCTGCGACTCAGCGACAGAAATTCCATACTGATGACGTAAAATCTGTTCAGAACATACAGATAATAGTTCGCCGTGAAAAATGTTCTGCCATTACTAGCTTCGCCATCACTTACCTCGAAACAACTCCCCAGGTTTTCTCGGTTTAACGGTTTAATAATCTGCAACTTTGCTTCACTTTTGACGTCATCGGTTCAATAGGGCAAAACTCTTCCAAATGTGGTCAACAGTAGCTGGTTTTGATGAATTATGCGTGTGATTTTAGCCAATCAGAAACGGAGAAATATTTTGAAAGAATAATAAAAAGTTTTATTTAGTCCCCTTGAGCGTTGCCCGAGACAAAATCAGTTTCAGTATCAATATGACCAGGTCACAATTTTTGCTTTTAATTTTTCAATTGTGCAGTGATGAAAAGTTATTAGAAGAATGATGAAGATCTTCTTCGTTTGGTCATTCATAGCTTTTTCTGACAAATTACAGTGGAACCTCGATATAACAAACCTCTACGTAAGGACATCCTCGATAAAACGAAAGATTTTCTTTACCCCACTAATAGTAAAATATATGAAAATGAACCACGATATAACAAGACCTCGCTATAGCGAACAAATTTTGCCAGTTCCTTGGCCCTTCGTTATATCGATGTTCCACTGTAATTACGGGAAGTAATCAAGTTAATTAGAATCTGAGACTATATTATCTACTGTTATTACCTGTTGGTTGAGGCGTAGAAACAACAGATGTGGATGGCATCATCATGGTAGTGGTGGTAGGTGTCATCGCTGCAGCCATGGCCATAGCGATCAAATTTTGCTTATTTGCTGATCTTCCCCAGGTAGTGTGCTGTGGGCTTAAATTTGCCAACGCTGAATTGGCATCCGTAGTTGAGTGCATAGCCCAGACAATATAGACTTCAGTATTGATCTGATTTCCAAAGGTAGACAAAGAAAGAAACTATGTGAAAAGCCGGCAGTAGCTTGTAACTGAAAAGTATCAACTGACAAGTTTGCGAATTTTTTGTTTTTTTAAATTAAAGGCGTGGAAATGATAAATAACCTACGGTACACAGAAAGTGCACTGTTGCGGTTTTATAGCCGAATTTTAAACGTGTTTTATAAACTTTTCATGTACTGAAAGGAAATTTTAACTTCTTTTCTCAATTACTGTACTCGTTATTTACATTCCAATTGAAGACAGTAACGGTACCCCTAACCCAAAAATGTCGCGAACAGATGAATTTTATGGCTTTATAACTGAAGTTGAGGAAACATTCTATTTTTGTGATTGATTCCTAGGATGAAACTTCTAAACGAGGTATGTTAAAGGGGTACCATTCGTCAATGGAAGGTATGCGAAAGGGTTACCTTTTTCGTGAAAAATATAGTATCATATAAAATAAAGCTCCAGACACAAATGATTCTTTTTTTACTTCAGGTTAACTTAAGTCTTTTTTCCCACGTAATATAATTAAGATTGATTGATATGCTTTGCCTCAAACAAAGCTCAAGAAAGCGAAAGTTCGCAAAGTCGGTTTTAAGGATGGTTTTTAAGTCACTTGAAGCTTTTTTTCCTGAATCGTTTCAACTATCCAACTTCAATGAGATGCAAAGTAAAAAAACTTGAAATTTTTCTTAGGCCTTCACGCATGTATCGTTTTAAGTAAAACTTAGGAGCTCATAAGTTTTACTTAACGGTCTAGGGTAAAGACCAGCTACAGAGTTCACTCACACATGTTGCTGGAATATTTGTTGTACAACCTTACCGTAAACTGAACATCTATGTTTGATTCTCCTGTCGTCAAATTTCTTTCAAATTTAACGCTGGTATATCCACCCATCTCCATGGCTTCAACTAGCTCAAAGTTGTTAACAGCATCTTTTGGTGGTGGTGACCTGCTGGTGCTCCAGTAATCCTGTAGGTCACATATACAGTCAGTTTGGGTTATTTTGGTGTAAGTTGTAATTGGAAGTAAAGTTTAGCCGTGTCTATGTCAGATATAAAGACACTAATTAAATATAGCTTTTTTGTTTTTTGCTTTACGAATTATTAATGACTCCGGATATCACAAAAACCTCATCCAATAACTGTTTATCATCGTATGGAAAGACATAAACAAGGGAATTTGTATGTAGTAACAAGTTCAGTTAACAGACTAGTGTGGGCAGTGATTACTCTCCTCCTTCGTTTCAGTACAAAAGTAAAAGAGTTTTTAGTTTAATTTTAGAATTCGTCCCACCTTATGTATTTCTCTTAAATCCTGATTATGATAATAATATTAACAATAAACAACTATTATTGTTATTGTTGTTATTATTGTTGTTGTTGTCGTTAAGAATTCTTGTTGTTGGGTTTACTTGTCCTCCGACCATCTAAAGGGTGTTTAAAAAGTTCGTTCCGATTTTTTATTCGCTTAAATTTGACTAATTATTAAAAAAAAAACCTTTTGTAAAACTTAGTATGTTATTCATTATTTATTTAACATTGAATAACTAAAATATTAGTAACCAGAATGTCTTCCTTTATGTTTTCTGACATTTTCTAAGCGGTGAGGTATACAATGTACGAGCTCCCAAGGCGCGTCCAAAGTCACATTCTTCCAGACGAAGCGTAGTCACTATCTTAGCTCGCCCAGTGTTTTGGGGGCTGGATCTTTGTATGTTGTCTCGTCTACGGTAATCCAGATGGTCTCTAGGGGAAACATCACATGAGTTTGCCGGCTGGTCCTCCTTTGGTATAAAGTTGGCAAATCCTTCTGACACCATGCTTGCATTAAGTGTGCACCGCCTTTTCCTCTTCAAGGCTTTCCAACTTTTTTTGGTAACTTATCCCCGTACCGTTATGCTTGAGACTTTGATCGATAAGGATAAGTTGAAATTTTTTTACCTTTCTGTTTTGTGGAATTATTAAGCATAAACTGACGGCTTTTTCGATAATATTTCTCACACAGTTTGTGATAAAACGGCCATGCACTCCTTGGTTTGTCTTCTAAGGTCTTTACTTTTGACCCACTTGTTCGGTCATTGTTCAGACATCTCCAACAATTTGACAACTTTTTTTTTCACTGAATGGCCAGAAGACCATAAAAATAGATGCCTGAGCTCTAGCAAAAACAGTGTAGGCCTTCATTTTTATGAAGGAGTAGAGAAAATGAAAGAAAACGATAAAAATACCAAAATAGAAAACCTACAAAATGGGCAGGAAAAGTATGGCGGGAAAAACCTCGCGTACGTGTAGAGTTGGGGCAAAAATTAAAAACAAATTATCATTTCTTCAAATTTTAGTTTGAAATTGCTTTTAACGGTTATTTAGATAAATTTCTTACCTGAATCAGTTTACATTTGCTAAAGAAGCATTAAATGCTTTGCGCAAAATACAATTTACAATCGGAACGAACTTTTTAAACACCCTGTATTTCAAGTTTATTACAAGTTTATTACGACAGCTTATTTTATTACAAAGTGCGACGATTTTACTACAAAGTGCGATAGGTATTACAAAGTGCGACGATTATTACAAAGTACGACATGTATCTATTCATCTAAGCAATCTTTCTCTAGCAACCAGGTAAACGATCAATTATTTTATAGTTTACTTCACTACCGAAAAGTACAACCGGTCACATTATACAAACTTACCTCAAGATAAGATTTGTTATTAGCAGAGAGCCCGCCGGCAGCGATATCGTAGTTTACCATACCTCTACCGCCAGGATTTTCTGTAAAACCCACTGCACACCATCCGGCTGCTTTACAAGTCATGTTGAAGAGCAGCTTGTTGTTGCTAAAGGTCCAATGCAACATGAAATTACCGTTACCAGCACTAAACATAGCGTTATTTAATACATCAACTACATGGAAAAAAAAAAGAAAATAAGATAAGCATAAAAATGCGTAGCTCTTGAGAAACGCCATCGAAACAACCCTCGCTTCGGATGCCGAGAATTCCCTGAAGGAGTAAGCGGATTAAGCCGCAGGAGATTCGTTGGACAATAGATTTACTAGAGCGCTGACGAATTGTAAAAAGGAAGAAAACATCTGTGCAGAGGTGTTGGTCTCAGTTCGAAAGCAGGAAGAAACAAGAGACTATAAAGGGGACAGAGAGGCCATCCCCCATATACACCCTATTCCATAGGTAATTCGTCTTGAGTTATTTTTAGAATCGGGATAAAGTTACCTCGCGCGAGGCGTGGATGTTTCGTGGAGGTTTCGCATGACCAAACGCCGTGCAAAACATGTCGGGCGAGAGGCAATGAAAGCGTAAAAAGATCGAGAGCATTCCTGAATATTGAAGCGAAATGAGTCGGCGCTCACCTGGGAAAAAGGAATCGCTCGACTCTTTGACAACCCGTGAAACCAGTTTAACTCGAAGTTGTCGTAGCCTCAGTGCTTTAATAAAATGAGAAATTTCGCCGGTCTATTGAAACCGGTCGTTTGTACAATTTAGGGAGTTTAAGATCCAACGACGCGGACGACAACTAGAACAACAAAAAAACAATAGGTCTAATTAGCAAAAAAACAACTTCGCACGTGCAACACAGTTTTTTGTTCATTTCTTTCCCGTTTTTGCACGACTACGACGTGAAAATGCCTAATTTCGCGTTTTATGGAGGACGTAAATAAGCAACGACGAAATTTTATTTCTCTTTCTGAGCTTGAATATGGTCCCTTGAAATTCAGCTTTAGGAGGGTTCGCCTACAGTTGATAAAGTACGTGGGTAGGAATAATCGCTATAAAGACTGAAAAAAATAAACATCAAACCAGAAATTGCTCTCTTCAAACTGTAAATTATAAATGATCCTGAGAGAATATTCAGTGTGTTAAGGATTTCCCTGTTTCCTGTTAGCTCTATACAAGAGAGGAAGGGCGATTCTTTTTTAATTTCGGTTTCCCTGACACAG